CCGGCTGGCGGGAGCCCCTCAGCTCCCACCCGGCTGGATGCCCATTTGATGCCAGACAGCCACACTCCACAGCAAATCAGGTTCAGGTTTAGGTGGAGGGTATGGGGATGAAGCTGCCAGCACTCTGGGCTGTTTCACAACCTAATTACACGCTGCTCCCTGTAGTTGCTAAATGTCCAATTACAAGCGTTTGCTTGTGCTACATCATTGAACCACAATTACAATAATTACGTCCCTATGAGAAGGTCAACGAAGATGACCTCAGAAATGACCTGGGAGGTTGGGGGTGTTTCCGTGTCAGTGACAGAAGGGCAAGGCAGAAATGATTTTCAAATGCCAAAAGAAAACATTTCCTGGGCATGTTTAGGAAAAACTTTTCACGCTTTTCATGAAGTGTCCGGGTTCTGGGGAGGAAGCCGATTGTCCAACCCGGAAGCTCAGGTGACTGGCCATTTGAACAACAGAATGGCCATCCATACACATTTGAAGACCTCGACACTGGGCAGAAAACACCAGCGTTTACAGCGGTTGGGCCATGTTGGTGGTGCCCAGAACTCACGCTGTGGGGAGCATGCCGAGGCCTGGGGATAGAGTCCCCTCACCTGGGGCCGCCAGCTCTGCCGAAGGCCATGGTGGCACCTGGCGCCAGAGTCCACACCTGTGCAGAGCCAAGCCTGTCTGCTGAGATAAGCAAGATCCCACCCACTTTGCAGGAACAGACTCAGAATTGGACCCTGACCCACAGCCTGTGGGAACCAGATCAGGGAGGGGCAGGTTGGAGTCCTGGCCCATCCATCACCCTCAGGGCCTGCATGCACCCCGATGTTCAGAGGCTGGGAAAGGGTATCCAGCCCCACAGACCCTGCTCCCCCTGAGTCTCCTTCCTCAGGTGATGGTTCCAGCTGCACTTATAAAGAAATTACTGGAGCCCTAGCCAGTTTGGCTCAGGGGATAGAGCGTTGGCCTGCGGACTGAAGGGTCCCGGGTTCGATTCTGATCAAGGGCACATGCCCAGGTTGTGGGCTTGATTCCCAGTGGAGGGTGTGCAGGAGACAGCCAATTGATGATTCTTTCTCATCACTGATGTTTCTGTCTCTGTCTCCCTCTCCCTTCCTCTCTGAAATCAATAAAAATATGTTTTAAAAATATATGCAGGTGGGACGGCGGGTCCTGGCCCTCAGCAGCTGTCACCCCGCATGAACAGGTGTGGAGGGGCAGCTCGTATTCGTGACTCCGGCGGGTTCTGGTCTCACACTCCAGCTCCCAACAATCGCCCTGGCACTTGGGGAACTGTGAACGAAGGGAGGCACGCACGTTTTGCTCAGATGCCCGGCTCCTTTCCCACTACAGGTAGGGGGTGAGGGTGGTCCCCTGGCCCCTTCCTGGTGACCAGGAGAAAGTCTCACTGGTAAGTGCCCCTCAGCTGTCCGTGGATGAACACACCCCAGCTTCTCTTACCACCTGGGAGGACCCCAGTTCTAACTGGCAAGGACCCTTTGGGTTTATAACCAATCCCTCAGGGGTCTCTTTGTTCCGGGCCAGGCCCTAGGAGGTGAGGTGGGATGGCCGCCCCGCACGGCAGTCACGAACAGCCATGACCCACCTCATCCTGCAGGTGGCTTTGCAGGGCCAGGAGGGGGTCGGCAGCGCCCACCTTGCGGGTGCCTCCCCAGGAGCTGAGTGACGCTGGGGGAACCAGTTCTGCCACTGTAGCCACACCCTGCTGGCTGTCTGTCTGTTGGCTTGTCAGGAGGAGGGAAATCTGGAAATTCCTGCTTCTGGGACCTTCGAGGAGCCAGAGGTAGCTGTGTCCCCAGGCGGGAGGGCCTATGACAGAGGTAGGCCTGACAGGAGCCAGGCCAGGCCCTTTCCTAACAGCCTATCAGGTTCTTCCAAGAACACTGCCAGGCAAGCAGGCTGCCTTAGCTTTTATTTTCTAACTTACAGACTTAATCTTTGGGTTTACAGAGAAAGTGAGCATCGCACAAGAGTTCCCATATGTCCTCCCTCTTCCCCCTCTGAGTCCCCATGATAAGGTCTGTGTTACAGTCCATGAGCCAATAGCGATACATGTTTAACCAAAGGCTGGGGGTCCACTCTCAGGTGGCATGGTCCATGGGCTGTGACACGTGCATGTCCTGTGCCCACCGCTGTGCTGTCCTAGCTTTAGGGACCGGGGTACAGGGGGTCTGGTCACAGCCCTGAGCCTGGGGGGATGGGAACCAGTTCAGAGACATTCTTTCCCCTTTGGCCCGGTGGTCTCTGGGTGCTTTATAAAATTAAATTTATGAAGGTAACATTGCTCATAGCATTGTTAAAATTTCAGGTGTGCACTATTATAATCTGATATCTGTGTGCCCACCACCCACAGTCTAATTTCCTCCTGTCACCATATATTTGACCCTTCACCCAATTCACCCCCCTCCCCTCTGGAAACCACCATTCTGATGTCTGTGTCTACCAGTGTGTTCTGTTAATTTGTTCATTACTTTTTGGTTTTATATCCCACATATGAGTGAAATCATACAGGGTTTTTTTGTTGTTTTATTTTTTATTTTTATTGATTTCAGAGAGGAAGGGAAAGGGAGAGAGATAGAAACATCAATCATGAAAGAGAATCATTGATTGGCTGCCTCCCACATGCCCCACACTGGGGATGGAGCCCACAACCCGGGCATGTGCCCTGATGGGGAATCGAACGTGACTCCTGTTCATAGATCAGCACTCTATCCACTGAACCGAATCGGCCAGAGCCATCCGGGGCTAGAACCCTGAGCAGGTCACTCTGGCCAGCAGCGCTTAATCTCTGCATGTGTCACATGGGGGGGGGGTATCCTAAAGCTGCCTCCCTTTCTCCTGTGTGAAGCCACAGGCCCTCAGGACCTGGAGGCGGCTTGTAGGGAGACGCGCGCAGGGTCAACACCCTTCCTGGCACAGAGCTGGTCGCAGGTTCCAGAGTCTCAGCTAATAGCCGGGTGGTGGTCTCCCTTTGCCCGTTTCTCCAAGCACTTCTTCACCCTGGCTCTTGCAGGGATGGGGACAGGGAACCCACATCTCAGTGGGGTGAGGGGAGGAGTGCAGCAGGCCTCCTGGGGCCCAGCCTCAAAGCTGACCTTGGTCTCAGGGTGAAATCACTGTTTGTGACTGGGCAGTGCCATCCCCAGGCTTGGGCTGGGAGGGTTGACCTACTCAGTTCCAGAGCTGCTCCAAACATCCTTCACCTGTAACCACCTTCCAATACCTGCAGGCCCTCCCCTTGCCCAGCACTCCTGGGGGTGCTGTGTCCCTGCCCCAGATGTTTTGGGCCCTGCAGCCCCTCCAGAGTGTGGTCACTCCAGCCCAATCCGACTCCAACCCAACCCGACTCCAACCCAACCCGACTCTAACCTCACACACACACACACCTTTGCTAATCCACAGGAGCAGGAAGTCTCACACACACACACACACACACACACACACACACACACACACAGTTGCCCTCACCCCCCTCTCCCCGCACCCGGTCACTTGAAATTCCTCCTGAACTGCATCTTGGCTGGAAAAGGGAGGCTAAAACAAGGTCAGGTTTCTCCCCCATTTGATGCTGTTAGAGGCTCTGGAGCCCAGATCCACACCAGAGTCCGAGGAAGCAGAAAAGCTGGCTTTTGTGATGATGGGAGTGGCTGCCTGGGGGCCAGGCTCCCTGCCTCTGCCTGGCAGACCCTCCTCCTCCTTCTTCCTAGACTGGCCCAGCTTTCTGGCATCACCCCTTCCTGTTGGGGCTGGGGCTGCTTGTGCCCCAATGTCTCCCCCCACGAGGTGCCAGGCACACGGTGGCCCTAGTGACCACCGGGCGAAGGAACCCGCTCTCCTCACGCTGTACTCACCATCTGGGGTCCTTCTAGAGCGGGTCTCAGTGTGAGGCAATAAGTGTTAAAACATGCAATACCTGCCTATTTAGTCAGGGGCACTGACGCCTCTCCCTTAGTGTCCAATTTAAAAATGGCAACAGTCAACACAGTAGCCATCTGATGTAAATGAATCAAAATTATACCTATTTTTTTGGTCAGAGTGGCAAAAATATATTTTCGGTGTGCCACAGAATTTTAGCAACTAGCTTATGTACCATGAGATGAAAAAGGTTGAAAATTGCGGATCTGGACTTTAGGGGCCAGGATTGCTGCAAAACCCCATAATGCAGAGGACGCACCCGCACCCTGAGAGTCACGTGGGAATTTGGTGAAGCAGGTACTGAGTGGGGGACCAGCGGGACTAGTGCCCACAGGGATGCACAGGAGCGGGGCCTGTGGTCAGCAAACCCAGACTCTGTGGAGCGGGTGCTCGAGTCCACGCGAGTCCGCCCCAGTGGGGCCTCCCTCCCCCACGTGCCCAAGAACGGGATGGAGCCTGAACCTCCACAAACTACACTTAAATCCTGCGGAGGGGGGATGGGTGCCAGGAACAACCCTGATGGGCTCAGGCAGTCCCGCAACCCATCGCCATTCGGAGCTCAGTGTGCGTGATGGGCCGAGGCACCGCTGCCACGTGACGACTACCGGCCGGGCGCTGGGCCGGGGTCCGCACAGACTTGGGGTCTCGGGTTGTACCCCGCCTCGCATCACACGGCCAGAGACGCGCCGTCCTCCTCTCTCGGGGACTCTGCTTTCCAGCTTGGCTTTCTCTCCAGGACAGTCTTCCGCCCCGAGCGCCTCCCCTCTCCGTGGCGCCCACCCTGTCCCACCCGCGGGACTACGTGCCTCCGACGTGGGTGCCACCGCCG